ATAATTCAACCGTATTAAGAGTTATAAACAGGTTTAAGAACCGGTTGACATTAAATCACAAGCACGGAGCAAGAACCAAACCGTGAGCAGCATGTAGGAAGGCGGAGGGAAAGGTGAAGGGTAATTTCACCCGAAATCCCAACATATCAACACGTAATGTTGCCAAAAAGGTCAGTGTTTTGCAAAGCCACGTGCAGAAGGTCAATGCAAGAGCTGAATTACATGCATTCAAGGTTCAAAACTTCCCAAGCTGCGATGAACGCCAGCAAACTGGAAGCGCAAGGAAGCTCTACACGGAAATGTTGAACAGATACAATTTCTGTGTGATGGATGATGAAAAATAGGTCTAAGCTGACTTTCAACAAATACCAGGACAAGAGTTTTACACCGGAAAAGATAAGTTCTAAGTGGATGATCCTTTCAAGAAAAATAAAATGTCGAAATTTCCATCAAAATACCTTATTTGGTAGGCTATCTGAACCCTGTGCAAAAAGTAGTAAAATATTCATCACAAAGGGCACCATCAATGGTGAAATTTACAAAAATGAATGCTTCCAAATACGAATGCTGCCATTTTTAAGGGAGCAAAGTGAAAAACCATTGTTTTGATCGAATTTAGTTCCTGTCACTATTCTAAAAGCGTGCTGGAATGGTATGTGCATTTTGTCCCCAAGGACATGAATTCACCAAACTGTCTAGAACTACGCTCAATCGAAACCTATTGGGCGATGATGAAGCGGGATGAAAGACCAAAGAGAAAGTAAGGGATGCAAATGACATGCGGAGGAAATGGATAAAAAACGAGAAAAAGGTACCGGATACGACTGTACCAGCTCTTACGGATGGCGTGAAGCAAAAGTGTCGGGCATTTTACCAAACAACCCCCAATAATTGATTCATACAAATTTTCACGCCGATCTGTTCAGTAGCTTCCGAGTCTATAAGGGTCAGACAGACAGACAGACAGACAGACAGACAGACAGACAGACAGACAGACAGACAGACAGACAGACAGACAGACAGACAGACAGACAGACAGACAGACAGACAGACAGACAGACAGACAGACAGACAGACAGACAGACAGACAGACAGACAGACAGACAGACAGACAGACAGACAGACAGACAGACAGACAGACAGACAGACAGACAGACAGACAGACAGACAGACAGACAGACAGACAGACAGACAGACAGACAGACAGACAGACAGACAGACAGACAGACAGACAGACAGACAGACAGACAGACAGACAGACAGACAGACAGACAGACAGACAGACAGACAGACAGACAGACAGACAGACAGACAGACAGACAGACAGACAGACAGACAGACAGACAGACAGACAGACAGACAGACAGACAGACAGACAGACAGACAGACAGACAGACAGACAGACAGACAGACAGACAGACAGACAGACAGACAGACAGACAGACAGACAGACAGACAGACAGACAGACAGACAGACAGACAGACAGACAGACAGACAGACAGACAGACAGACAGACAGACAGACAGACAGACAGACAGACAGACAGACAGACAGACAGACAGACAGACAGACAGACAGACAGACAGACAGACAGACAGACAGACAGACAGACAGACAGACAGACAGACAGACAGACAGACAGACAGACAGACAGACAGACAGACAGACAGACAGACAGACAGACAGACAGACAGACAGACAGACAGACAGACAGACAGACAGACAGACAGACAGACAGACAGACAGACAGACAGACAGACAGACAGACAGACAGACAGACAGACAGACAGACAGACAGACAGACAGACAGACAGACAGACAGACAGACAGACAGACAGACAGACAGACAGACAGACAGACAGACAGACAGACAGACAGACAGACAGACAGACAGACAGACAGACAGACAGACAGACAGACAGACAGACAGACAGACAGACAGACAGACAGACAGACAGACAGACAGACAGACAGACAGACAGACAGACAGACAGACAGACAGACAGACAGACAGACAGACAGACAGACAGACAGACAGACAGACAGACAGACAGACAGACAGACAGACAGACAGACAGACAGACAGACAGACAGACAGACAGACAGACAGACAGACAGACAGACAGACAGACAGACAGACAGACAGACAGACAGACAGACAGACAGACAGACAGACAGACAGACAGACAGACAGACAGACAGACAGACAGACAGACAGACAGACAGACAGACAGACAGACAGACAGACAGACAGACAGACAGACAGACAGACAGACAGACAGACAGACAGACAGACAGACAGACAGACAGACAGACAGACAGACAGACAGACAGACAGACAGACAGACAGACAGACAGACAGACAGACAGACAGACAGACAGACAGACAGACAGACAGACAGACAGACAGACAGACAGACAGACAGACAGACAGACAGACAGACAGACAGACAGACAGACAGACAGACAGACAGACAGACAGACAGACAGACAGACAGACAGACAGACAGACAGACAGACAGACAGACAGACATTTATCATGTCCATATGTTTCATTCATAGAAACAAACACGGTTTCATTTAGAGGCAGTGTAAAAATGTCATAAATAGGTCCAACCAAAATACATTAACCTATTTCGGATTTTTGAGTAAAACTTTTTGCTATGATGACATAGAAACTTTGAGAGCAACATTAGTAATTTATATAAATTCCACTACCTTATTTGCTTATACTTGACAAAAACGCGGTAGTGGAATTAAATGGAAATTACTAATCCTTCTCTCTTTCTTTATACTAGTATTCCACTAAGACGACCACATTCATCAGGATTCAGGATAGAAAAAAATGTTTTTACACTTCAATTTTCTTTAGAATTGGAGAAAAAACTTATTTCTGCTTTAGATTTCCGATATATTTTACCAAAATTTTTAGACAAATCAAAACGTTGTTTTAGGCGGTAAGCTTCCCTATGAAAATAACTGTTATTTAGGATATTGGAAACAATACCAAGTTAAGCAACCGATAACAAAGCCATACATTGTCGATAATATTTTTATCAGGGTTTAGAAGACGAGGCTCATTAGCTTAGTGGTTTCCGTTTCTCTATGCTTTTACTCTATCCCCATTAGATTTAAATAAAAACACTCGGCTGTTTTTGCTGATTGCATCACTTACCACAATGAATTATAAATTCAGATCTAAAATTAAACCCAAATTACTAACACAACTATCTCGGTCTCTAGTAACTTCGATTGTCAAACTAAACATCCTACCCCTTCCTCAAAGACCGTGAGGTCGTGACTGGCGTCGGTACTATCTTATAAATAGAATATAATGTGTAATATAATACAAAATCGGTTAAGTTAGAATTGGATCAATTACCTCTAGTAAGAAGTCTTAAACCAAATTACAACCCAACCACTTCCCATCACCATCTGTGAAAGCCAAAACTAAACGAAAAAATTCCATAGCACTCAGTTACCATCTGCCAGGAGCTCATAATCACACCAGGATTCAAAACTTTCCGAGAAAATCCTCCGAGACATATCACCTTCGAATGTCGCGCGATGCCTCCCTTCTGTGTCGCTGGAGGAGGCTGCGGCAAAATCAGCGCATAAAAGCCCGTTTGATGTGCTCCCCTTCTGTAGTCGCATAAAACTGGGAACGGCATAAAGGAAAAATATAAAAATAGCAGCATATCCTTACGCTCAATAGACAAAAAAGAAGAAGAATAAAATATTTGATCATAAAGGGGAGGGATAACGATTCGGAAGTAGGCACATGTTCTCATTCCAAGCAGACTTCCAGGCGGCGAGACGAGACGATATCATCTAAACAAGGTGATGGCGGGGATTGAGAGGCGCTCTCTTCGTTTATTCTTGGGAAGCACGTGATTTTATGTAATGCTGACCATGGAAGGGACTGGGCTGAACATAAACAATGTTGGGGATGAACGTGCAGCGAGATTCGATGACAGAACGAAAGAGAAGCTGCTGCGATGACAAAAATGCCGTTGCCTGGGAGACTGAGAGAGATGATTTGAGGTCGGATGACGGTGAGAGATGCTGGTTAGTGCGCATAGTCTGATATCAAATGCTTTTGGCCATGTGATCGAAGCGTCGTGATGGAATAGGATAGGTAAATAAGATTGAAGTTTTAACCGACTTTTCACTTGAAATACTTTATGGGATGCGTAAATCATAACAAAAAACATAGTCGGCATCCTTGAGGATTAGGCTGTTATATTTAAAAAATGTTTCCTAAAACATCATGCTTGCAAAACTCTCAACCCTGACATAAAAACCATAGAAATATAATGTAACTTATGGTTACAAAAAAATAAAGCCAATTGATCACACCATGCAACTAACAATAAAATAAGGATTTTATAATTAATTCCATGGACTGTTTTCAATTATTTTTAAGATAAGTAATGTAATACAATAAGAATTGTATATAAATTTTAAAAGCAACCGGTTGGTGCCACCTATAAGATAAATTATCCATAAGTTGAATTGTTAACTCCATTTGGAGCAACATAATTTATAATACATTTAATTTATCTTTATTTTTTGCTTTACTACTGATGGTATTTTTTATCCGGGAATCCGCTTAAACTCCACTGTTCGATTGCATGATCAGAGACGAGGAACGCAGTGCCTCGATGGAGTTTGTTCAAACCGCGTGCAATATACATGCAGGCTATTATTCCCTATAGCCTCCGTTCGTTACTCGTGCAGTAGTATAATTTAGGAGGTATACCATTTTCAACACAGATGGTAGCCAGCGTGTCGGCATTGGCAAGAAGCAAACGAAATCACAAATGCTATTTTTGGTGCTAATCTGCTGCAAGCTTGGGGCAATCAGGACCCCCAACAAACAGAGATGACAACCTGTCCACGAGAGATGTTAAAATTTACGTGAGAGCGAATACGGAAACGCTCCGGTTGCCTCGGAGATGAGTACGGGATTCTGCTGAACGACTGGAAACACTGGTTCTGATAACACCGATCCAAACATTTGCTCGTGTACGCTGCTAGAAGTCGGACGCGTTTCTGCACGTGTACGTTGTTCTGTGGAATTGTTCCCCGGCGGTAGACAGCATCCAACCAGGATATTCCCAGCAAGAAAGTGGCATCGTCAATCGCATTCGAACCGTCGCCCGAGTTGCACGTGTTTTCGTAACATCGCTTAGTATTCACTATCACTTTGCTGTGGCGGTGCATTTGATACTGGTTTGGTGCGAACCGTGGTTGTTGCAATAAAAGTGAGCCTCTGTTTTTGCCAAGGCAACGACATAAAACCGCGTGTGGGAGTTAATTTTGGCGATTTTGGCAGACGTACACAGCGGAGACGCGTACCAGTGGATGGCAACGCTTACTTGGATGGCAACATTTTAAGGTGTTGTTAATTGCCCCGAATAGTGCGAGATTAGTGTCATCAAAATCATACCACTGATAAGAAGGTAGAGTACCGTGTTGTACTGCCGGACGGAATCAGTTTGAAGGGCTTGTTTGAGTGAGTTGAAAGTTTATTGACAGTTGTTGGCTGCAATTAGAATGATTATTTTCAAAACCCTGTGGGCGTTAGTGAAACAGCTTTTCATCGATAATTGAACGTAGCAAAAGACGTAATCTGCTGATAACGAAGAAGAATTTGTTTAACGATCAGTGTAAAGCAATAATTGTTGAATGATTTGTATTCACGACAAATCTAGCCTATAGAATACAGTGATAAAGCTTCGACATACAAAGTTCACAGCACGGCGAAAGTGACCAGGCGGGAATCCCAAACAGTAAGTTTTGTGTTTGTATTCTGGTAGTGCAAAATTCCATTCGTTGCTAACCGGTTCTTTTTGCAATGCTGTTTTTGCAATCGGTTAATCGGCTTTCATGCCCAGCGTATCGTATACGAAACTAGCTATTGTAGTTTCAGGCTGTTTGTGTGCAATCAATCAATTGTGATGAGTGTGGGGCATAATGGACAGCTTAGGTATGATTTGGAACAGTTAATTGATTAACTTATGTGATGTTTCTAAATAGACACTAATGTGTGAGAATTAACGGTTATGATGTATTCTATATTCTCATCAAATTCTTCGTAAATCAAAAGATTTACTTGATCGCCATTCCACACAGTTCAAGAGAGTTATGTGTTGTTAAGCGCTGTCCAGACTGAGCAGTTATAACATGTTATAACGGTTGTCAAATAATTGAAACACAGAATTCACCATCAAGGTAGCGCTATAACATGTTATAACTCTGTAGTCTGAACGTACTATAATAGTACGTTCAGACTACAGAGTTATAACATGTTATAGCGCTATCTTCATGGTGGTTTCTGTGTTGGAATTAGTTGACAACCGTTATAACATGTTATAACTCTCCAGTCTGGACAGCGTTTAAGACAAGAGCTCATATAACATGTTACGAATATCAAAAATGGGTGTTGAATCCTGTTTCATTTTGAAACCATCTCTGGGAGCTCCTGAAACATTTCTGGATAAGGAACTATCCCCCTGAGCACTCAATAAAACTAGTTTGGTTCATCTCATGATAGGTTCTGGTACGAATTAAAATAACGGATCATTTCCCTGAAGGACATCACGAACATTTTCTGATGCAGCCGATGGGTACCCCATTTGACTCTCATTTTTTTTATGTTTTCAAGTTCCTTTAACACAGATTTCATAAGATCTGCCTGGAAATTTTCGTCGTCTGGCTGGCAGTACTCGACCGTTGCTTGTTAGAGTTATACCGCATAATATCTAGTTAGAGAATCCTGTTAACGCTACATAGAACATTAACCAAAGGATGCATCGACTTTTGGAAATATCGACTTAAGAAGAGTAGAAGTTATAGAGTTACAGTTATGGTTATAGTCATAGAAAATATCAGACTGTGGAGAATTGACTGTATATTTTAACACAACTACGACCACATGATTTATCAAATCGATTCCATTTGGATAGCTTTATGTCACATAGTGACCGGTCGTCAGTTGCAAAGGTTTGTTGTGATATGAGGAGCTTGGTGGCCTAGAAGCGAAAGTTTTTGCTTACTGCATGATTTTCTATGCAGTAAGCAAAAACGGTCGCTTGGTTTGGGTCTAATTCCACGTTCCTTCGTATAGGAGTGGTTTGCTTTTAGTGTTTCTTCGTTTTTCATGAATTAAACGTAGATAATAAACACTCGTAGAACTCAGTTGGACCGACGCGAAAAAAAAACTTGATCTCTGTTCGAAAACATTGTAGGTCATCGTGGTTTGTTCTGATGAAAGGTACTCGTTGGCCTTGTGGTGACCGTTTTTGCATACTGAGCAGAAGTTCGTGGGTTCTATCTCAGATCCTTTTACATGACTGAGTCGGAATGGTTGCATCAAACTTTAAAATACCAATGCAAAAACCCAAAACTTGATAAATTCAAAAAATATAACTCAAAAACGAAAAAAAAAAACACATAGCTCGTTTTGTGATATAGGGGATGTAACGTCGGCCTAAATGCCCTTAATGTGGACCCATACATAAATTCAGTAATCGACTAAATTTTCAAAAAAATAATCATTAGTATCGTCCTAATGACGCGTTCATAAACATATTGTGGCCTCTATCTACAAACCATGAAAATCATCATAAACAAATACAATCAATGTTTTCACAAAAAAATTTAAATTTTTTAGTATCATTATATTTTCCTAAAAAAAATTTAATTACCTTTTATTTGATATTTTGGTCTTTGAAATCGGCCTAGTGGTTCAAAAGTTATGAATTTCGAAATAAGTTATTTTTGAAAAAAGTTATTTTGAAAAAAATCGACCATTTTGACCACCTTAACATGGAAATGGTCACCCTAATGCCCAAAAAAATACGGGGCTAATATTTTGCGATAACGAACAACACTACCATTTTTTACGAAATTCTTAGAACCACTATATCGTTTTGCTATGGAATGGCTGTATATATACTTTAAGCTCATTTGGTAAGAAACTAACTTGACACAAGTGTTTGTTGAGGTATAATTTAAATTATAATTGATGGCTGCTTATGAGACCCCAGCTAGGGACATGTACCCTTCTTTAAATTTTGTTTTTAATACAATCAACTATCTACAACTCGATATTGAAGGGATCATCGAATAATACAATTCTATGCGGAGCTGAAAAAAGGACCTATCTGCTTTGATCCACACAATTAGAAAAATTCATGTAAATTTAGGTGCTCTGAGAGTGACATATACGAGCGTCAATTTTGACATAAATTTGAGTAATAACAAACGCGAAATATTGCTTAATCCAACGTACTTTTCGTCGAGCAACAAACTTTTCAGTCTCAGAACATATAATATTACATGGCATGTTTGTTTACGTATCATCTTTTGTGTCAAAGGTGGATTCCGTCACGAGTAAATTTAGTTATTTCCAAGTGTGCATTCTCTTCATCGACTTTTTCTTTCGTTAATAACTCAGCTGCAACAACATTCCATGTTGTATTTGACTATTTGGACGATAGATAAAAACCTCCTTTATCATGTTATGTGGCAAAAATAGCACGAAAACTGTTTGCATAGCCGTGGTTATCAAAAGAGAAAGTTGGTAAAAAGAATCAATCAAAGCAGATAGGCCCGTTTTCCTACTCTGTATAGAATTATCGAGTTATCTCATTGGAATGAATCACCATCGCAGTAGCCATGACATTTATTTTTACTATCATCCTATAACTCGATATCGAGTTAGTGGACATCGACTTGTGGATAGTTGACTGTAGTTAAATCTATTTTCCATCTACTAGCTTTGCCCCCTACTCCCTGTTAATCATGATACGCCTCATTGCCTGCACAGCGGCACTTCAAGGCACCTCATTATGTAGCTGTGCAGTTTGTGTTGCTCTTACCATTGGTGCATTGCCCTGTGAGTCGATTACCACTGGGAAGCAAAAATGTGGTTCTATTGTCGACCGATGATAATAGTGTAGATATCCGCCATTTCCACAAAACATCTTCAGTGGACTTTTAAATAGAAGTTACGGGTAGAACCAGATAGAAACTTGAGACATATAAAGAGATTAAAAACAACTATTTCAGTGTTGTAATTGGTTTCTGCGGGTAGTATTATTCAACTCGTAAGACCACATTTATGTAAGTTTATATTTAAGTTGTGTTTTTTTTTGGCTACAAATTTAGAGCATGGTATTGATATTCTTAGCCATCTTAACGATGAAAATTTAAGATTACCTACAAAGGGTACTAAAGCGATCTGCCACAAATTCTTGATGAAAAATGAATAGAAAAAAAAATAAGGCTGACAATGAAAATATGAAAATTACATTTATTCAAACCCCTTTTGCATGTTTCTGCCACAAAGAAAACAGAGCCCTAAATCTTCAATTGCGATTTGATTTCCACTTTCCCAGCACAATAATGTTCCCATCGGATTCTGATTTTTCATTCATGACAGAAGCGGTCGGGAAACCTCAATTCTGATCAGATGATTGAGGTTATTTCTAACAGCAGCGCCAAAGCGAACCCAAAACACAAACGGAAGAGAATGTTCTATTTTTGCAACGGCAGCAGAATATATTGTATGCAATTTGATGAGTTCACAGTGCTCAGAGGGGAAAATGTCAGAAAATCGGTTGCGATGTGTGAGAGGTATTTTTGGATAAAAGTGCTAATTGATCAGTATCGTGGTGACGTTTTTGGGAGAACACATTGTTCACAGTGAACCACACAACTTGAAGGACAGAATTCCAACTATGACTGACATTACGTGACTGCTATCTGTCAATTTGCGATGATAATACTGTGAGAAATAGATCGCATAACTGAAATATTCATCTATCATTATTGGGTCGTTGAGTCAGTGTCACACAACCGACTGTTTTAAATCAGATCCAGTCTCCTCCACTCATAAATGGGATGATTCTGCTACATATGTTTGTCGACTCGACACCGTGCATCAATTCCCACAATGACAATTGTGAATCTGTTATCGCTGCAATCAGCCATCACAGAGTCGAAACAAATTGGTTGAGTGGCTTTGGTACCAAGCCTAAGTGGAAGTTGGGGGAATCAGTATGAGTAACGTGATTTAACCTCTGGGGGTATTTTACGAGCACGTTAACTCATCACGCCTACTGGCGGTTTATCTAGTTAGCATTGACAAGTGGATGAAGTAAACATTCGTTAAATTATCTACTATGCATGGCGTTGCCATAGAGAGCGGAGACCTACCAACAGTGGTTCAGAATCGAGTTTAGCAAATCCTAGTGTTTTTATCTTAAGTTTTAGAGGTTTAGAATCTTCTGTAAACTTTTACAGCTTAAAAAATTCCTTATTTTGGACTTTTTTTTTTTTTTAAAGGGTGGTTCTCAAATTATTTATTTAGATAAACTAACTTTTTATTTTTCAAAGTAAAAATACATGTTCTTCAGCAAAGTCTAACACTGAATAAAGCAAGGCAGCAATACAATAAAAATTATCGAATGTCTTATAATGGCCGAATGATGTATAAAGCATTGAGACTCACTTCAAGATTTTCTGGGAACCACGAAATGAAGAATAAACAAGTTTATCTAATCATTGAAAATGATGATTGGACAACTAGAAGAACAACTCAGTACTGCATCCTTAGAAGCAAAACAAATTCTTGAAGTGTATTTTGAACAACAGCGTGAAGTCTTAACAAGTATTCTTTCAACCATTCAACAATTGTAAATTTGATATTCTGTAGGGTAGGTATTCTAACACATGCCCCCAAGTCTCTTTAATAAAGATATATAAAAAAAAGTTGTCATTTTCG